CACGTTAGTAATTGTTTGTGCGTCTGTCAACGGTATAAAAGAGAGTTTTTCGCACCTACGAAGCCGAATAAAAAAGAGGTAGATCCCTCCTGGTGGTTTTTTCGGAGGTCTGCAACCTAAAGCCGAGGACTCCTTCACAACCTTTTTTAACGCATAAGAGGCGATCCGTTTTTTATGGTGGTGGGCGCTAGTGGAAAAAACGCCAGCGTGGGCGGTAGCCCCTGGGCTTAACGTCCTGAAGACGACGTTTCATGAACAACTTTTAGCCAAATTATACAAAACGATTCAACCTCATTTCTGTAAGTGAGTCCTAACGGAGTCGTTTAACCGGGACTTATGATCCACCGCGTATGGTGTTTTAGACTAGGCTAGGCCTATAGTTCATAAAGTACCGGTCATAGCGGCTATGGCTTAGGCTATGAAAAAATTTACTTTTTGCAGAATACATGAAAGTATATCCCCTCTCCGACCGTACTGGTACAAACCACACTCGACTTAGCTCTCATTCTTATCTGATGTTAGACTTGAAAGTGAAAGGGTCACTTATTGTCTCGCCCTGTACAAATAAATAATTGTTTATTTGCAAAATGAAAACGTTTAAATTTCACGTTTTGATTTCTATTGTAGTTTACCGGTCCATACTCGACAAAGAACCCGTTGAGGGCGCCCAAAGTCTATCAAACCTTAACGGTTCAAAACACTTTAACCCGAGGTGTGGTTGCCGAGGAGAAAAAGAGGTCGTAGGTACCGCGACACACACACAACGGTGGCGCCTATAAGCCATTCTATAAGAGTCGGAAAAAGTCACGACATCACTTTTATAAAAATACCGAGTTAAAACTTGGCCGGGTATCCAAAGACACGAAAGACCCTGTAAGTGTCGTCAAAAAACTCATAATCTACAGCAGAGGTGTTATATCTCTAATGGCTGGTTTGAACATTTCACATACTTCAAATTCCCAACCCTCGGAGTCTATTCTTTACGCAGGTCCCACCGACAAAAGTGCTCATATATATATGCGGGTTCGGGTCGGGTTGCGGATCCTGTGCCGACGGGTCGGGTCGGGTTGCGGAACTAATTTGTAATATGTGCGGGGGGCGGGTTCGGAGCGGGAGCGGTTCTTGAAAATCAGACCCGTGCAGGACTCTGCTTTGCAGGGCACTAAATACAGATCGAGTTCACACCGGAATAAGTTCCCTGAGGGAAGATTACGCAAATGAAGCCGCTGACGTCACTTCTTCTTCTGCTTTGGGTTTACTGGCAGGCCGCAAACCACTTCACGGTGTATACTGCACCTGAAGTCCCCGGAGTTGGGGACTGCCTTCAGTAGAAGCTGCTGGGACTCCCAGCAGCTTCTACTGAAGCCTTCCGAGTAAATCTCCAGAACGCCGAAACCTCCTCATCTCCACCGCTCCCATGTTTTTTTTTGTGTTGCCATAAGTTATTCTCTCTCTCCGTTGGTGCGCGGGGCTAATGCTAATGCTAATCATGCTACTGCCATCAAATACAATGGCGGCTTCATAAAACTTTTCCGAGTTTTACGGTGCGTGGTTTGCAATTCGCCCAGCCAATCTAAATTGGTACTTCTTTCCCCCCAGGATAGTACCACCTCTCTAGCAGGCACTAAAAATGGGGGGAAAAGTTCTCGTAACTAAGTAGCCTACTCTTTGTTCGAGTGAGCTCGTGAACTCGTACCTCACACTCAGGGACCTATCTATCACATACAGTATTTGCAATATCTGAATTTAGTCTTTCTTATAAAAGAAGTATTAAATATGCATTACAACTGTATTTAACTTTAACCTAAACCTTCTCTTTATGCCTCTAAATATGCATTCTACAGATATTTATTAATATTCATACATGTATGTACAACAACATTGTTTGTAATGTGAATTTATTGAAACCTCATGCACTTTTCTACTCTTTGCACTGGTTGGATGCATTTCATGTAATCTTTGCAATGAAAATATAGTGTAATCTAATCTAATATTTACTTGATTATTTGTTCCATGCCAGCATAAACTTCTACCTTACTAATTCAAAATATTGTACTTTGAACTTCACGACATTTGCAAAATCAGGATTTATTAAAACTTGTAAAATATGATGGTGTTTTTATGAATACATACAATACATGAACAGGATAGTCAATTATAGACTATTTCAAATATTTAAGTAAGTCATTTCAGATATATTGAGGCCTCAATTACAGGTTATTTTTTAACTTCATTTAGCTGAGTATTACTTACTTGCATATAAGTTACCTTTTCAACGCAACAGATTATTTACAGTTTAAGTAAAGGATCTCAATTATTCTTCCATCACTGATCACGGGACTGCTTGGAAGGAACTTTCCACCTCCTGAAGAGAAGAGCTGGTGGCTCAGGAGTAAAGATCAGTTTTTTCAAAATTGTGTAGACACAATTCCTGGAACAACTCTTCACACACACTATTTCTAAAACTCACACAAAATGCCATAACACGTATGGTCTGGATCCTTTGTAATTGAAGGCTAATGAATTCAGTTGAGTGTATAGACAGTTGTAAGCTGATTTGATCCTCTGTCCACAGGCGGCTCTGCCCTCAGTCCCACCTGACACCAAACTGTCCAAGCTGGACATTTTGGTTCTGGCTACTAACTACATAGCTTTCCTGACGGAGACATTGGATCAGGGACGGACACAAGCTGAGCACACCTTGCCCTCCCAGCCGGGGGGAAATCTGCATCCTGTTAAGGTGCAATCATGCTGAGTGCATTACACTGAATGCTGCTCTCAGAGAGGAGATTATATGACTTGCTGATACATACATGATTATCCACTTAGGACACTGTTATTGGGACAAGCCCTATCGCACAGAAAGATTGGATAAAGATGCAACTGTACCTATACCAACAGCTGTGCATCATGTCAGGTGGCTGAAACATATATTACATATTATTATGATTTTGAAAAAAGTTAGATAACTTGGTTATGTTATTACATTTTAGTAGTCTAGATAAAACGACTAATGAGAACTAGAAAGTCCTAGCTCATAAGAGGATAAAACATCCCACTAATATAACCTTTAGTTGAAAACCTTATTTAATGTGGTTGTATCTGTATAAATTCACTTATATAACCTGAAAAAAGTCACTGATTAATGATAAGTAGTTGATCTCAGCTAATTACAACAGGCTAGTTCAAACCATATTACCTTCAGATCATGAACTTATTTGATTTGGTTATAAGTACATGAAAACTCTAATATTACCAAGATGACAGATTTGTATTATCCAGTTTTAAGTACATAAAACCTCTTATAATTTGTTAAGATTATTTTGCCTTTTGATTATTGTGACCTTGTAAAGACAAGAATGAAACACTCCAAGTAGACAGTCCTAAGTTCTGGGACATTGATCTGCTGTCCTCTGCACCAAGGCATTTAAAGCCCCTGCCCTGAAGTCTTCTGCCACTTCTGGGGCGGCTGTGGCTCGGGAGGTTTGACCCCCAAGCCCTGCATTAAACATGTTGAGTATCCTGCCACTGGTGTCTGAATGTGTGAGTGTTTTAGTTGTACTGTATGGCAGCCTGTGCCATGAATATGTGTGTGAATGGATTTATGCTGTCTTGTCATTTAAAATATTTAAGTCATTGCAAGGACAAAGATTGTAGAAATCACCCTAATGCTCCCTAGGTCTAGGATACGCCTGAAAATTTCTATATATATATATATATATATATATATACAGTACATATATATATTTCTTTATTTAATATAGGAAAAAACAGTCGACTACTGTAATGGCTCAGGGCCTTCACTGGGGCTGTGACCGAGGTCCCCTTCTCTTCTGAGGTAGGTTGGGGCTTCCTGTGACATTAGGGGAATACTAACTGTAATAAAAACAACCGCCAAGAAGACATTGATGCAGGTATTCTTTCAAGGTTGAGTAGCCTGTGTGTAGCACGAGAGATGTAACTTGGGACAAAAGTGGCATATATGTTGCTATGGGTTGTTTTTGCGTTTATCAAATATCATGGTGCTATTTCTATTTGCATTAAGAGATAACAAAATTATGTTATTTCTCTCCTCAGAAGTGGCCCATGCGTTCCCTGCTCTATTGTGGCAGCGTGGCAGAGCTGCTTTCAGGAGTCCCAGTCAATCAGACGCCTATTCCCGGACAGGATGGAACACACCCCCTAACCCCCCGCCAAGAAGTAAACAAAGAGTGATAGCTAAGAGGGGTCCTTACTTTCCCCCTTCTCAAATGTTAATCAGCTGCCATTGGGAGCATAAGAAGCTTCTATCTGAAGTATGTCTTTATCTGTCAGTAAGAAGCTTCCTCCCTTCTACATTCACTGTAATGTAAATTATGTTGCTTAGGTAGGCTCTGCAGTTTAACTTTAAGAACACTACAGAAAAAAAAAATCTAAACTTTTGAGCCATCAAAAGTAAAAGGAAGGCAAAGATTCACATATGTTGGATGGAGATGGACAATATGCAGTTACAATCACATTTTGAGCCAAGTATGTTGAAAAAGTGTAAACCTTTTCTCATTTCATTCAAGAATTGGCAACAGCTTATTTTTCTTTATTCCTGTGACTATTATGTTTGTATCTGCAAAAGCCTGTGTGTGTGTGTGTGTGTGTGTGTGTGTGTGTGTGTGTGTGTGTGTGTGTGTGTGTGTGTGTGTGTGTGTGTGTGTGTGTGTGTGTGTGTGTAATGGACTCACAGATGTGCAGTGGGAGGGTGTTGTGGGAACACAGCTGCTGTCTAACCTTCTTCTTNCATAATTTTGTCGTGGTCCCCTTTATGTTGACCTGGTTTTTGTTCCAGTAAACTGCTTCCAGCGTGTCGAGCAATTACCGCGCTGTCCATATAACAGACAACTACGCGAGAGCTGCTCCTTTATGCCATCCATATATATTGTAGTTGAGCCTCGTAGCAATATTGAATACGCGTAAAATGTGACTAATCGATTGTTGTAAGATGACCAGTGAAGCGCCTGTACGATTCATTTAATATCTGACCAGAAAGCTACACTCGTTAGCTATCACGCTAGCGGACTTATTATCAAAGCGACTTGTAGCAAAGTACACAAATATATCATTTTTGAATCCTCTGTTGTGGAGAGCAATATCCCCACCAGAGAAGCGAGTGAGATCTTACACACACATCTATAGACAGAGATTGAGGCTACCGTTTGTGTGGAGGTATTCTGAACTGATGATTCTCAACAATCAGCGGCGTTGGTACGCTCGACATCACTGCGAGACGCTGATCTCTAGAAGCCACAACATTTAGCCTCTGCACTGCACCGGAGCCACACCTCAACGGTTGCAAGCCATATAGACAACATTCAGAAACGATGATATGCAGAGACCAAGCAGCAAACAGCTAAATATTTTGTCTGACTTACACCACAAAAATCTACATATAGACAAAGATGGTTGTTAGGTGCAATTATTGCCATTGTTCTATATTCGAATGAGATAGTTAGTCGAGTTGTTCCGCACCCTGACGAACATGCGTGTAATGATGCCACGTTGCCCTCGCGCGCCGCTGTTAACACACAATCGCGCGAGAGGGCGGGCGGGTTTACTCACGGACAGTCTGGCGCCGTGTCGCGCGCGTTTGTGGTGTTGACCAACACGAGAGAAGAGAGCAGAGAGCGCAGAGAGGTGTATACGGACTCGTATGCGACTGTGGTGTGTGAGAGATCACACGTCGGAGAGCGCGAGAGCGCGCATCTCGTCAGAGACATCTCAAACGAAATGTGACACAAGAGAACTTGCGAGGAGCCAGAAAGTGAGACAGGACTGCTAGAAGTCCGCCGACAAAGCAAAGACGCGCACATATCGAGAGTATTGTAAGGTCTTCGGACCCACTAAGATCATAATGATTGTGGCTAAAAGCCTCAGCTGTAAGCATTATCTCTGTCTGACAGTACATGCATTTCACTATCGCTGATACATTTAGTTCCTTACATATACAGAGTCCCGATATCTTAACACGAACAATAAGTGTCAGAAATCGAAACTTCATACCACATGAGGAACCACTAGCGCGCCCACTCCCCTGACTCGGTAGGACCCGCGAAGGGACTAGTGGACACAGAGAAGTCAGGATACATTACTACGTGCGTTCTGCGCCGCGAATGTGCCGCCGCAGCGATGAAGAACCCCATCTCCGATCTCTGACTTCTATGCAGTCTGAGAGACCAGTTATCCGTGGGAGTAGACACTCCGACAGGTATACGAGGACACCAGATCAGACGCAACCCCTTTGTGCGGACGCACTGTCGTTTTAGGGCGACGTGAGAGAGAGCTTCGCGATCATGCCAGCCACTCTACTTGAGCTTGTTCATGATGCAGCGCCACTAGAGTTTTCAAGTGCGAGGAGAGCGCGAATTATTATGCCTCGGACGATTTCAGCCAGGGGTGTTGATTACTGCTATTGGTGTGTTCCAAGCAACCGCGAGGCTCGCCTCACAGACAGTTTGTTGTAATCTCGCGCGCACATCAATCTATAGGCGCTATATTAGTAATCACTAATGAATTGTTAATTGTCTCTGTAAGTTCGACATGTATAGATAACCATGCATGTACACCACCGCGTCTATCTTTCTTATAGGGTCAAACTACACAATACATCAGAACACTATCTACCTAGAAACAATGAGGCGCAGAGATGTTAGAGTCTCTGCGAGACTGAGTAGTGTGAACAACGGAGGCCGCGCGCGAACATTCTATATCAAATACTCTGCGAGAGAATATGTAATAGTACTTAGCCGTAACAAGAGACAAGTTAGAGAGAGAAGCGCCAGAGACATCATGATTGTTAATGTGTTATTCACTGCCAAAGTATGCAGAGGTCCATATATGAATATTCAACACGTAGCTCTAGCAGTGCTTGTCACAAGAAATGAGATAGAGAGTATGTCATCGGTCCATATATGGGCTCGTTACTTGAACAGTGGGTGCAGTTGCCTTGTCATGATGCGCACACCGCGACATTCGGCACTTACAGAATAAGGATCAAGGGTCAACAATAAGCACGACATAGCCGGCTGTTTTGCGTATGGCTGTGTCCTTTAGTTGTGGAGCCCAGTGTTTCCCGAAATATTGTCCATCAGGTCACACTGATCATACAGTCCAATAACTTTGTTGTTATTAGCATCAGGGTTAGCTTAGTGTATGCTAACGAATATAAAAAGCTTTTTCGTACAACCATCTGAGGTAAAGGCACATCTTTAAATCATTATAGTTATAAAGAATAAGAGAAAAAGTAAACAGGTATAAAAATACTTTCATGACAGTACAAAAAAAGTTTGTTATTAATAAACTGAAGTATACTAGTTTGAAAGGGGAGTGATTTGTAAAATATCCCATAAAGACACACACACATAAATCTCCTTATCAAGTTCTGTTTCACTATGGGTGTTGAGAGATGTATCCCATAGATCTCTTAATGTTTGCACACTCAAAGTGCACCAGATTTGATGCCTTTAATCTTCAACATTTAAAAATAAATACATTCACCCGGGGGAGCCATGCCCCCATACCCCCCTAGAGGAGTGAGTTAGGTCCCCCCCCCCACTTTAAATCAATGTTCACATGGATAGGAAACTAAATTGCACACACATCTTGTTCCAATTATATTCTGTTTTGGTGGTCATGCCACAACCGTGCAACGCATACGCGAGTCATGGGCAAGATACGATACTGGATTAAGAGGTTGCTTATCTCTTTGCACAGCATGAAAAGAAAGGCCAATGAATGGGCTGTGATTTTAGTATTTTTAAAAGCAGCGCGTAAAAATTTGTACGGCCCTCGGAGATGTTGAAAAAATTGAAATGCCTTGAGAGGAAAAAGGTTCCCACCCCTGTTTACGGGCCCGTAGCTACAAATATCACGATGCCACCTCTTATATACTGAATAGAACGGTCACACATTGAGAGTATACATATAAGAATTAGATCTATATTAAAGGTAATTTACAGCTTAATCATTAATTCTAATTCTTGTGCTGCTGCTTTTCATTTAATTTAACATATAGAAATGTATCTATGTAACTAGGCCCAAATCCAAGACTTCAAATGTGCCTGAGAGGGCGCCAAGATGGTGTCCTATGAGTGAGGTGAGAGCGGTCAGCACGAAAGGTCAAGAGAACCGCAACATTATGAAGAAAGTGGAAAATACGGATGACAAAAACTAGTCGACTTGGATCAGATTTGCGTTTGTCGAGGGTACTTCCGTGAAGAATATCATTGACTAGACCTTATCAGCTGCACTATTTTGTCAGCTCTAATTGTCTATACATCCCCCAGCAATTGAGGGTGGGAACAGTTTCTTAGTCTTATGTCTTATCTCTTAGTTTCAACAATGAACGCTGTGAATGCGAGTTTAACCTCACATTGAGATTTGTAAAGCTTAGAACATTCTTTTGCGTCACATTGGCATTATAGTAAGTTGTGATATGTATGAGCCAGACACGTCTGAAGTAGACGTCACCTAAAAACATAAATCAACAGAGGTGACTAAAAATGGCAACTGTATTTCAGTTTTGGCACCAAAACTGATGCCTGGTTGCCAGCTGGCAACCACTTTAAAAAGTTAGCGTTGAGCCTGCTGATGCGTGTGCTGGTGGTGAGCCTGCCCATCATCATGTGCGCTGAGGAAGACTCACCCATGTGCTGCTCCAATAGAAGTGTTGTCTGTGAGAGAACTCTCCTCCGGCAACCCTAGTCTGTTCTGCTTCAGGACGAGCTCACGAACAGACTTCAAGTTGGGAATCTGTTGGAAAATTACATAGGTTTATTATAAGCAAACAAAGGAAAACTAACTGCTTAACATTTCAAGTCACTTATCACTCACCCCCGTAGGCCAATAAGCTCCAGCATCTTCATCATTGCTGACTGAGGTCTTGTTGATTTTGACAAGGTCCCCGCTGAAGATCTTCCTCAAAAACGCAACACCAATTCTTCACCCACTCTTTGGACTAGACAGCCATGGTAAGTTCCACACAGGAGACACACCATTCAAGTGAAATCATCGCGCTTCTCTATTCCATCACATGTCATTGGAAGCCACTTTTATCACACACAACGACTTATATACACATAAGTATAGTGGACCATCCCCACATGACGCAATCCTGGGCTGAAGTGTCTTGTCCAAGGACCCAATGACATGCAGACCGCGCCCTGAGACACGCGTATGTATCAAGAGACCACAGCTCCTACTGATTCTGAAGATCAACTGCAGTATAGCACCACCTGAGCCACAGAAGGGCTGACTGCGTAGACTTAAGTACAGGTATCTGGGAATTGAACATTGCACTACATATGATAAAATTTCAGGAGTGAAACAATAATTCATAAACCATATATTAGACACGCCATCTTTGCTCAGAGTGTGAGAATTTCTCAACCAACATTAACGCACGAGACTAGTCGAGGTACCAGGGGGGGAGGAGCGAGAGATGTGTGGAGACAAGGCCAGTACGACGGCATTCGCTGTGAAGTCCAGGCATGGTTTGGCTTGTGGGCTTGCGCAGCATACACTCTTTGTAGGGAAGCTATACTGCCCCTGTACATGAGTGAGAGTGAAAGGCCTGCTGAACAATAATAAGATACATGGCCGGACCATGAAGCTGAGGTGCGGAGAAGGGAGCATCTGGTGTGGACTGCTGTCTGAGCATTTGCAGTTAGCTGCAAAACACAAGTCGTTTAAATTATTTAATTGGGGGATGAAGCGCGCTTGTCTGTGTGCGCTATAGGGAACGAGTCAGTTGGGGGGACTACATGCCATCAGTCACTTTAAACCTGTGGTGAAGAAGTACGTTTTTTAGACTATTGCAATAAAAATACTATTTTGGGCAGGAGGTGAGACGGAGACGTCTGACAAACTGCCACGACTTAATTACTCTCTTTGAGTTTTGGTTTTGGTTTTTTAGAATTGTGGACATCCCTTAAAAAAAGGTGCAACAGAGTCGTCTTAACTATTCCACTTGCGCGGGCATTGTCAAGTTAATCTCCAGTCTTTTTTTGAAGATCCCTGTATTCCCTTCATTAAAGGTAAGGGTAGGGTAATTCACTCAGAAACACTTGTTACCATTCCATGGAAATGCTCTTAACATCCCAATAGCAATGAATACATTAAATCTTATGAAAATAAACAAATACAATATTTCATCTGCGGAAGCCACGGCGCTGTAAAAAGCAAGTCCAACATCTGAAGCCGGCCCGGTCAAGATAATTGGATGCCTACCCTGCCCTGTCAGCCCCTTCCATCTCCATGCACAAACTTATCTCGTGCCCTCAATTTGTCCATGGGTGTGTTCGTGTGTGTGTTGGAGGAGGGGCTCTGTAAGGAAGTCCTGGAAGGAAGGGGCAGATTTTTTTCGACTGTGTACTTTCAAATTCTAGCGCACTCGAGCTTGTTTCTCCATTCTTACCTTCAAGTCCAATTTAAAACAAGCTGAATTTAAATCGACACTCAATCTTAAAAAGGGAAGTCCTGAAAGTTAGAGCCAGAGGAGGCAGGACAATCCTCTGACAGTACTCACTCTCTGATGCGCACAGCGAAGGCCAGCCTGTTCTTGGCGGGGGGCAGGGGCCCGGGGGGGCGCTGCTGACTCCTCTGGATGCGAGTTTCATCACGATGCTTCCTGTGGCTGTCTTTCAAGAAATCTTCTAATCGTTTAAACTTTAATGGTTTTCCTTTTGATATCTAAAATGGTGTAGACATGGGAAACATCCAGCAGTACATTAAAACAAGTAGTATGCACAGTTGAGCCTGCATCACGTGACTGTTAACACTTTCTTACAGCCTGCTCTCTTACCTTTCTCTTCTCGAGCAGTGCTATCTTAGCCTGAGTGGCTTTGATGGCCTGGTATGCTTTCCTCTTCTTCAGCAGATACTCAGGAACCAACTTGATCACCTTCTTTGACCTGCCAACAGGAGCACACACACTGATCAACAGATATACATGTGTGTGCATGTGTGTACATGCAGCTTCAGCTTTACGTGTGGGGATTATGTAATGTATCCAAAGAACATACAGCATTAAACTACCAAGAACACACTACAAACAACTAGTTTCGGATATTAACTTTAAATCACGCCATGATCTTTCCGTGGAGTGGACTCGTGAAATCCGGATTCTGCAAACTTCTTCTAACCATGACAACGGCTTCTAACAATCATTGCGATCAATATGGCTTTAGATTCAACCGGTAAAACCTTGACTTGTTACAGAGACTCGGAACAAAACAAATACAAGCAGATAAAGAACGGATTGCGATAGATTACATTGAACACAATTACATACTCAGTTTCGGCCATGGTGGTATCTGGATGGTCAACAGTCGCTCGGAGATGACGTAAGAGCAATTCGAGTTTTATTTTCCCGGTACTGCAGTTACTACAGTGCCACCCAGCGGTCACGTCACATGTATACAGGACAGTAAAACTGAGAATACAACCAATATGGTCCTCAGCCTTTCTGAGATAAAACCAGCCTGTTTTATTGACAATGATATGTTCAGAATTCTTCCCCTGCTTTCAACTTATTGATGTCTAAAATAAAATCATGATATCCGTATCTGTGGAAACGCTGTAAGTTGAGACTCAGAGTAATATAATAGTAAAGTGTTCAAAACATATAATCACTATGTAAAGGTCGTCTCTGTCATGTTTTTTAAGAACATGATTACAAATAACACATACGAAGCTTATCAATATGACACATTCATAAACAACATCAGGCCATTATTAACATCCAGATGCTTCTGTAACAATAAGGGGTTGACACAGTTGTATGGACTCATTCTGTACAGTAATAAAGTGCGATGAAAGTCTCTTTAATGATGTGTAAAAGTACATTAAAATATGTAATGCAGAGCTTAATGGAGACGCATTGTATTGTGTATGTGAAGATAAGACATTTCAGTTTTTAACAGCTTTCTTAAAAAAAAAAAAGTTTTAATTTTAGGCTAAATAATGTAACTCCACACAATACGTTTCAAACATCAGGATATGTTGCTCAGACATGTATTTATCACATGATTTAAGTATGGTGACATGAAAATGAACAGCATGCCCGAGATTTCTGCTCAGATTTGAATTCCCATTTGCTGAACTGGAGTTAAGCTGCAGAACAACCTGTGAGCTTAAATTATTATAGGCTTAATGCTTTGGCTGTTTACTGAAATCGGCTTTTAAAAAAGTGTCAAATAGCAGCACTGATATTTTTCCCTCAATGCAAACGTAAAAAAGGAAAAGGTAAGTGGATAAACCATGTTTAAATGTGTGACAAAAATATATACCAAAGCTTCAAACTAAAGATTAGCATAGTATTAAAAACATTTTGTGGTTGAGTGCAATTTAAATCTCAGTGTGATCAAATATGTGTTTATAACAAATAAAAGCTTTTTCCCTTTGCTCTGCTGCCCCTTCCACCTTCCTCTCCCCTGTTGCTCCCCCTTGTCCTCCTTTCTTTTTCTGTCCTCATTAACTATTCTCAAATGTTTTGTCTCCTAATACAGTTGTCCTTTCTCTACTGTTATCCTCCACCCTCCCCTCTTCTTCCTCTTCTTCCACCCTGTCCTCCTCTGCCTCTGAGTCTACATGGCATCAGAGGCCTGGCCAAAGCAGGGGGATTGTGGCCTCAGAGCTCCATAAATCCAGCCTGTAATCAACATGTCCCGGCGATAATGAGCAGGATATGTTCTCACCTCCCAACATGGGAGATGAGTTGTCTTTACATGGAAGCATGAGCAGTAACACACACAGCCACAGAGCCTGTAAATAGAGATGCACCCGTGACTAGTCTGATAATGTATGTCATATCATATGAAAATATGTGATTAACCAAAATGGTTATAAATATTAATATAAATATTAAGAAATAAATTGAGCTTGAAATATTGAAGTGGAATCCTGAGTGTAAACTGTGAAAATGATATAGTTTGAAAAGCTGCAAGTGTTTAGTTTAATATTAGGAGTTGAGCAGTTGAGATTGGTTTAGATTGTTGAACTTCAATAAAAATAAATAGACATTGTTATCAGTTTATGAAGGAGCAAATAATTTGAAAGCCCATAAAACCAAATTCTGGAACTAGAAATGTTGAGTACTTCCTCGTATTTAGTTAGAATTTAACATTGTGGATCCAACTTATTCAGAAAATTATAGATGCCAACTTACATGTGTTTTGCAAGTTGCATAATGAGCATTATTGCTTACATGAACAATATATTTAAGCAACTGTTCGGCAGAATTGGACCCTATTGGATTGGTTTTGGCATCCTTGGGGGGGGTTTATAAATTGAGCATATGTTTTTCCAGCTGATTTTGTGCCTCAATGTTTTCTGTGTTTCTTTTGCATTCGCTATACGATTTTATCAAGCTTTCACTGTCATTCTGTAAACTCTGCCTTAGTAGTCAGACCCAAGCATCTCCAAATGAGTCATCACTACACACAGGAAGTCGGGGGGGGGGGGAATTTACAGTGCTGGCCTTGAACATTGGGCTGTTGCGTATGGAGCGGAGCCCATCTTGTTCAAGGCGGAGAGAACTTCAGTTTGTCTGCTCCCATCTGATGCATGCCTTTCCTATCCACCCTGCAGACATATCTGTGATTTATTGGTATAGATTTCAATGCCGATCACTCACGTCAGCAATTTGTACTCATGCTGGTAAAAATATGACACTTTGTAATTTCTCAGTTCAGATTGAGAAACTTCAAATACTTTGAAAAAGGAAGACAGTGGAAACCTTGCCTTGTTTTTTAATGCAAGTTGTTGTCCAGTGGAACCTAGCAAATATAAAGCTTTCTTTTCAACTATTTTAGTTACATTTATTAATGTGTGGTTTTGTGACTATTCATAGAGCAGAAGTAAGATATGTTAGCTCAATTTGGTAATTAGCTAAGTAAGTATATCACTTACTTATATTTGGTATATATCAGTCCACAAAGTTTGATCTACAACTGTTAACATGGGGTCTCTAGAAAAAATATCAAACACACACAAGCTGTTACTGACTCCGTTTACTCAAAGAAGAAGGTTAGACAGCAGCTGTGTTCCCACAACACCCTCCCACTGCACATCTGTGAGTCCATTACACACACACACACACACACACACACACAGTCTTACTCAATATCAAGCCACACTTATTGTTTTTACTTCGGCTGTGAGTGCTTGTGTGTGCTCAGGATGAGTTTCGCTTGTTCTCGCTGTATCTGCAGCTCTCAGCAGCAACGAGCCTCGCAACGTCCCGACCAATCGGAGCACACTGGTTTCACAGGGAGGGGGGGGCAGGAGCTCCAACAAGCCGTGTAGGACAGAGAGTGAATACACATACTATACAGAGATGCTGTATGAGAAACCAATGTGAGTTTGGAAAATTGCACAGTATAAATCTATTTTAGTAGANCAGCCACCAATTGTGCAAGTTCTCCCACTTAAAAAGATGAGAGAGGCCTGTAATTTTCATCCTAGGTATACCTCAACTATGAGAGACAAAATGAGAAAAATAAATTTTTCTCATTTTGTCTCTCATAGTTGAGGTATACCTAGGATGAAAATTACAGGCCTCTCTCATCTTTTTAAGTGGGAGAACTTGCACAATTGGTGGCTGACTAAATACCTTTTTGCCCCACTGTATCTTGCACTGTATTAATTTCTATAAACAATAATCTGCAATCTTCTAGTATTGGTACAAAATGGTGGTATTGGACATGCTCTGGTTCCGTTGGAGTCAGAGTGGTTCGGCCTGTTTGAAGCTTGTACTTTCAGAATTCGGCCTGTGTTGAATTTGTATCATAATAGCATCCCAATTCCATAAGAACCTAGATCCACTTATGGCTGGTGACTTGGAAGTGTGCTTGTAAACTGGCTATTTATGAAACAATTGAGTCTTATGCCTCATTTGCATAACCCTCTCAATTGTGGGGTATCAAATTGCTAATCAGGCTGTCAACGATGACCGGTTCACGGGAGAGGAAGTCTCAGCAGAGGTATTGGATACCGCCCCCAAAGGCCAAATTGTTGACAGATTCAAAGTCATTTGGTTCTGAGATTGGTTCTGTCTGTGACCAATTGGAAATAAGGTTTTCTAAGGTAAGAATATTTTTCTATTATAGAAATCTGTTGATTGGTCCAACTCCACAACCACCCTGCTTTGTTGGGAAAGTCTTCAACTCACTCCTATTCTAGAGAAGCGTCAATCAATAAAATGACAAGAAGAAAATGGGGGACAACAAGACAGTGTTGATTTCAAAACTATAAAACAATAAAAGAAGGCTGTGCAAGTGTTTTGCGAAACAGTAAATATATTAATGATGAACGCCAAAAACTCACTTTATTAGAAGTTATTATGATTGTATTAATCTTACAAGAGAAAATCTTAATTCAGATGCATACAATGCACCATGATTAGTATAGAGTAAATAAGATATATGTTTGTGTACTCTTACTTTCACCTAATTACTTGTTTTTCCCAGCAAGTAGAATTTCAGTGTCTTCATCTATGGGGTCCCATGTTGCCCAGAAGGTGGTGCAATAACCTTGACAATACACTTTCTTGAATTTTTTATCTTGTTCTACAAAAAAGGTTTGACTTGTGGCAAAAAAGTGTCAACACAAGTCGAGAGTCCATAAAATAGCCGTAAAAGACGACATATTTGACCATGTGTTGAATAACTCAAATGATTTACTGTCTCTTATTGTTGATGTTACATATTGAAATAAAAAAACAGATAATTGTGTTTCTTTATGCTCAGCCTAATGACAACACAGTGTAGGCACGATGCATGCTGCCACACACTTCTTACAATCTTTTTTAAAGTGAGCAGCACAAAGATTTCTAGTACTAATTACTGTAACTATATGCACGTTGGGCCTTATTGATTTATTTGCAGACTCAAATATCGGCATTATTAGCTATACAGAAGATGTTAGCATTCATTTTTAAAAGAGAAAAACAAAGTGTCAGGCTTCACATCTTAGATCAGTGGTATGCTATGATGTGAATCACTGCAAATTGGTTATAATTATGAATATCAGTATTCCTTGTGTCGCCTGTAAAGCAATGCCACCGCCCCCTGTGTTGTTCCACTGATTATGGTCGGCTTGGTATTGGGAAAACATGCAGAGTGGAATGAGAAGCACAACAAAGTTAGTTGAGGCCTATCCTGTGACAGACAGTCTTTAAGGCCTATACAACTCTCAAAAAAGGAAGCTCACCGTGCCGCAGCACAATATCTTCCTTCTTATGATTGAAATGTCGTGTCAATAGAAAACAGACAAGCTTTTGAGACGAATAGGATTGTTTTGTAAGCCTCCTAATTCATTAACAAAATGTTTCATTGTTTTTTTGGCCCTAAACTCTTAGGTTCTCCTCCTGCAGTCCCCAAAACAAGCAAGCTAGGAACCTTATAACTTGGGAATGTAAATGTGTGTTACTGTTAGTGTGGTAGCAGGAGACCCCTCCAATGCAATTCATGGTTGGATATAGAAAGGCTTGGAGAGTAACGGATTACATAATCAGGATACAAAAAAGGTAACTGTATTCCCTTCAGTAACATACAGAAATATGTAATCAGTTTACTGTTACTTTAAAAACAAAAATGGGGGATTACTAGCAGGATTACAATGTTACAAAGACACTAAAAAGATCATATAGTGTCTGTTGTAAAAGGATCAGATGTTATCTCTTCTCTGTAAACTGTACTGTTCTGTAGGCTAATACTTTAAGTGTGAATCTATAGGCTACGCCTACTGCCTGAATCTGCTTTATGGTTTTCACTTTCTTTGCTTTATTTGATCTGCTTTTAATTCAGTTGGTGAACCTATGTTCATAAAATAGTGTGTGTGAGCTTAACTGCGTGTATTCAACAAAAACATTTTCTGCCAGCTCAGATTTTATTTCTGCTTTTTTAAACTGTAGTATGTGCTCATGTGTTTCATTGTTGGTGTACTGTTTTACCTGTGGAAACTTAGTTTTATATTTTGATACTTAGATTAGGTTACTGATTACTTTTTTTAAAAGGGTAACTGTAACGGAATATATATTTTTAAAGTCACCCTCCCAGCACTGGGGAGTATCGCTTTGCCTATTGAGATGTAGCAGTGTATCCCTTCTAGGTAATAACATGTCTATGATGTTCAAGTCAACACATATTTTAAATAGATTTTTGATAGACAAAGAGCTTTGTTCACACGAACACATCTCACTTCTCCTTTTCATAATTTAAGATCCCGCAGCGTGGTTCTGTCAGAGATTGGGCAGAGATATGATAGTGTGGCTGTTTGTGGCGACATCGACACAGCATGACGTACTTCACAGGTTTCAGTGCTGACATACTCACACACTTTTTATAATCACACATCCTTTCTTTTTTTACTTTATTTATTTGATATATTTTTGCTTTATTTTGCCAACACTTTTGACAGGCTCTCTGCTTCCTCTGCCAGGAATCTCTCCTCTCTCCCCCCTCCCTCCCTCCCAAAAAAACAAAAAGATACAAATAATATTCAAAAAATATAAATACATGATAATATTTAATTTTCACCCGCTTAAACTCTTTCCTGACTTACAAAATAAAATAATTGTGGATGT